CGTTTCTTTGGACAATGTTGAGCAGTGTGCTTAGGTTCTCTGCAATATAAACATAATCCTTCTTGACGACGACGAATCTTTTCTTGCTCAGTTAGGGGTTTAAAACGTACCGCGTCAATTTGCATGTCTTCTACTTCCGAATGTACGTTTGGCAAAGATGTTGATGTTGCCATTGAGTAATAACGTTGAGGTTTCCGTGAATGATTTTCGGATCGAAATTTGAAAAGTCGATTATCACATTTTACCGCAAAATCGATTGCTTGACTCAAAGTTTGAGGATCAGGTAAGTTGAGCATCAATTTCTTTACTTTGTATTGCAATCCATAAAGAAATTGACTGATGAGTGCAGCCTCATCCCACTTGATGTCAATTGCAAGTTGTCAAAATTGTGAAGCATATACTGTTACTGAGCGATTTCCTTGTCGCAGAATTCGGATCTTATTTGTTGCAATACGAGTTGCATCGTGTTCACCATACATAGATCGAAACTCCGCCAAAAAAGCTTCCAAATTGTCCAATATTGGATTTCGTTGTTCAAGAAAAGACAAAAACCACGATAATGCAAAACCAGAAAGTAGAGTGCCAATAAATCTGACTTGTGATCCTAAAGTTGGATAGCTTTGCGGTTGAAGTTCAATTGCCAATTGTACTTGATTGATGAACCCTCGAAACTTTGATCTCGTACCATCAAATTTCTCGGGTAAGGCAATTCTTGGTTCTCTAGTGCTTATAGGGTGTTGTACAATTGGGGAAGGAACGTGATTTGTTGTAGATATTGAAGCAGCTCCGATCATCTCTATATCCCCACTTTTTGCTATTCTTGTTCTTTCCTGTGTTGGTGAATTGAGTTGATGCATCGCAAGCATTAACTCCCTCATTTGCTCTTGCATTTGTGCCATTGCACTCTTCATTTCAACAAGCTCTGCCATAATGACACTAAGAAGAAAAATTTGTTTGATACTGCTCAAGACAAAAGAAAAGAAAGACTTGATAACAAAGAAGATACTAAGAACAATATCAGTTTAGAAGTGGGTAATCTGCACACTTCTAATACGCTTATGTCTTGTTAAGAGAAATGGGTAATCCATTCTTACTCAAGAAAAACAAAACTCTGATATTGTAAGTGTACTCTTATCAATCTATCAAGGACAAAGACTCGATGAGGGAAATTATACACAAAAAGGCTATCTCGATATAATAAGTCAAAATATAAACAAGTAGGTATATTAAAAGGAAACTGGAATGGCTATTGCCACAAGACAAGAAACTAAAGACTCTTGAACCTGGACTAGAAGCAAGAAAGGAGTTGACAAGAGTGAAGAAGCCTTCACTCTTGTCTCTATATATACTATCTAACTAGGGGCTACGTGGCGACGTTCTATAGGACCTCCAATATGTGTTGACTTTGTAGGACACATGCCTTGACTTACAAGGCAAGTTTTTCTACGTGTGGGCCACATAGTTAGCTTGATCTTCAAGCTAACAACATGTGTGGCACATGGCCAATTTGTTGACCACGTTTCTAATCCAAAAAGTCAATTAAAGACACCTATGAAGTCAAAGCAACGTCTAGGAAGTTTCTAGGAAGCTTTTATATTAAATATTATAGAATTAACTTACTTTTATTTATTTTTACTTACTTCTACCTATTTCTATATGTAATTATTAGCTTACATGATTATGGCCGTGACACTTAATTATAAAGAAACTTTTGTTCTTGTAGTGAAATGGAGCACTATACAAATATTTTTAGATATTTTTGTATAAAACAAATCGCAAGTATATCATATGGATGTAAAAACTGTATTTCTTCTTAGAGAACTCAAAGAAAAAGTCTATATTATACAACCTCAAGGCTTTATAGTAGAAGAACAAGAATACTTAGTATTTTGATTAGACAAAGCTCTTTATAGGCTAAAACAAGCACCAAAAAAATGGTACAACAAAATTGACTCCTTTCTTAAAAATCAAGACTTTACACAAAAAAAAAAAAAAAAAAAAAAAAAAAAGATTATATCCTTATATCATTCACCATTATGAAAAAAATTCTACTTCTAGTCTTCTATGTAGATAATCTTTTATTCATAGGAAATTATATTAATTGGATTACTTGGTATACATTACAACTTGAATCAAAATTTGAGATGTTAGTACTAAAAAAATGATATGATAATCTATTTCAAGGCTGAAATAATCAAAGTACGACAAGGACTGTTCATGATACAACAAAATTATGCATTACAAGTAATTTGCTACTTCAACCTTGAAGGATGTCAATTTGTTTCTACTCCTATGGTTGAAAGACTTAAACTTACAATTGGTATGAATGAAGACACTGTTGATTCAATCTACTACCATTCTATAGTAGATAAACTTATATAATTAGGTCACTTTTGACCTAATGTTTCATATTCTATTGGAATTATTAATTGTTTTATGATGAAACCACAAGTTTCACATCAAATAACAACAAAAAGAATTCAAAGATATATTATAAGAACATTGAATTATAAAATACTCTACTACACAAATTCACCAATAAGACTATCAACTATATAGACACGGATTTGGCAGAAGATTGAACTGATGGTTAATCAATAATAGGTTTTGTTTTCAAATTAGGAGCTTGTCCAATCACTTGGCTTTCAAAGAAACAAATTATAGTTGCTTTGTCTTCATCAGAAGCAAAATACATGGACTTGTCTATAGCATCCAAAGAATAAGCATGGGTGAATAAACTCTCATGTGATTTTGTACTAAAAATTTTAAAACCAATTCCAATATTTTGTAACAATGAAGGGAGTATCAAAATAGCAATAAATATAGATATCAATCCATCTACAAAACATATAGGTACACATCATCTTTTTATAAGAGAAAAATATAAAATAATGAAATAAAATTAAATCATGTGCCTTCTTTAGAACAAGTAGCTAACATCTTCACTAAACCATTAGGATATGGCCTATTCAAAAAATTCAAATCAAGATTGAACATTATCCCTATTGAAGAAGCATAATCTTAACTACATTATTAACATCTCTTTTAAATTCAGCTATCCACTTCTTTCAAGCTTGAGACACAATTCTTTGGAATTGGAGAAGACATAATACTTGGTCACCAATTGTAGAAGACATAATACTCGGTCACCAATTGTAGAAGACATAATACTTGGTCACCAATTGTAGAACTACAAATTAATTTTGGGACTATCACTTTATGTAGAAGAGTCTCTAAAATTCAGTACAAACATGGGACAAAACTTGGAAGTGCCGATAATTGCACCAAATTGTTATCCAAAGTGCACCTTCTTTGTGATGAATATACCAAGATTCTGCAATTATCAAGACCATCTTTGCTAAGCTCCTGAAAACAAATTGATGCAGATTGCTCAAGCCCAGTAACCTCTCAAAACTCAAGAAATTCATCATCATTAATCCTCACAAAACAAACACTATGGAAAAAGAAACTCATGAGTAATAAAATATATGTGCATATAAATTGTCAAAGATGAATCACTATTATTATCTGCAAGAAGCTACCAGTTTTTAGAACTAAGGCTCTTAGAGTAATTGTAGTTCTTTTTGCAAAATCTTTTCGTAGATGATCTGGTAGTGAGGGAGGGTGTGGGAACATCCATCCCTACTTATCATCTACTCTAGATGATCATGATATGGACGAATTGAGATCCGGACTTAGTGCCGAACTCTCAGGAACTAAACTCGTACTTAAGACTGCGAGCTTACAATTGCAGAATGTAAGTAAGTTCAATATTTGGTCATGCTGAAATCTCTGTTTTATTCTTTTTCTCAAAACAATGCCACACGTGGTGGTTGGCGAATTTGTAAACGAGTATAGCAACAGTGACTTTGCATATTGGTGGAAAACGATCGATGTTTCGGTGTTTGTAGCGGTGATAAACTCTCTGGAGAAAACTATGTTGAAAGCCATTTGCATATTTAGGTTCTTTTTATTGTACATAAAGGAAGTGCGATATTCCACTCACTTTGTAAAATTTCCATGGTCGTCTTTTTTGAGGTTATCCTCACTTTGTATTTTGATCTGCTTGTTATTTCCCCCTTCCTCGTCTTCATTCTTCAAAGGGAACGCCTTAAACCTGTTTTGTTTTCCTCGCACTAACACTCCATTTGCTGTCAGTCTCATGCAAATGATGCTTGCTACTTGCACGAAGATGTATAGCTAAGAGCAGTGCATGGGTGTACAAGACGGCATCACATTGTAGGTTCATACAGTTAGGAGGATAATTTTTTTTAAAAGAAAAGAAAAGAGAAAATCTTTTTAGAAAAACACTTAGCAATTTGTAGAGAAGTACATGAAATTTCCACAGTTGAAAGCAATAATCAATTTTTCGAAATAGACAACTAGTGAAGTGAAGTGTAGATGCTCCCTAACTACTGGCCCATCCATTATTGTTCATTACAAAAATGTTAGCATTTTAGTTTGCCTTTCCAACCAACAATTCTCTCCAACAAGATCCAATCTTATGGACTAGATAAAAATTTACACCAGCAAAAACCTGGTCACATCTTATTCAAATGTTCACTCCCTGTTTTTGTTTTTGTTTTTTTTGTTTTTTTGTTTTTTTTTGTTTTTTCCCCTCTTAGGTCTGACGTGAGAATCATATATTTGTGAATGAATATGCACATAGTGTTACATACAGTGTCAACACTCTCAGTGCCAGACAGGATGTTGTGAATTTCTCCATTGTGCTTGAATACATCAGTCATTAGGCCGCTTCTGCGAATTCATAATCCAACGTCGCCAACACAGAGCAAGGGCTCTCAATAAAACTCCCTGCAACTACCGCTTCCTTCGAATTCGGGACCACATCACTCTGAATCTGTTTCCATTGTAACGTTGCCATTTTTCCATTCAGTCCGTCGCGCCAATGTATGGAGTAGAGAATGAAACACTGGATTGCGCGATGAATATTGTGTGCATATACTACATGTGTGGGAAGAGTGAGGTGAGAGGAGTGGCAAATGCTGCGTTGTTAGTCCTGATGAAACCTGAGTCTGGTTCTCATGCAAGTTCCCAGTTCCCACCCCAAATTTCCGCTTCTAATTTGTCGTGCTTCCGAGTTATTTTCCGCATTCGGACAGATTTGTTTGTGTTAAGGAATTTGTACCAGTAATTAATGACAGAATCGATAAATATTCCACTATGCCGTCGAAATGTTGTAATGTTGCACTATCCGGCAAGTACGTTCTATTCCAAGGCGTCGATCTTCTCCGCCTCGTAGAATGATTGTGCCGTAGATTACGGTAGGTGCTCGGAATCGCAGTGGTGCACCGCAGACGATCACATTTGTGCGAGGATCTCTGAGGTGTCCGTCGTTCAAGGGACGTGCACAAGTAGCTGGAAACCTAGGTTGATGTCTCGAGTTTACGTGAGTACAATTTCTTAGGGTTTTGATTGTTTCGTGCACCGTGGTTGGGAATTGTTGAATCGCATCTCCTTAGACATTTTTCGTGCTAGTAAGGCGTCGTGGGGCCACGCAATAGAGATTTGGCATGAACATGAGTGGGTGCCGTCCACTGACGCGCATAGTCCATGCAGTTTCCACGAGATGACAATCTTCCAGTGGGAGGGCAGGAATTGTGCAAAACAGGTATTCACTTTGTTGTACCAGTATATTGTTCTCAGAATTGTCAAGTTTCATTACCTTTTGCTGTAGAGTTGAGAACGATTAGGAGATTGGGTAAGAGGGGAGATGGAGTTGCACAAGTGAGCGATCGTTGGTGAGTATGTAGTGGAGTCCCTTTGAGGTGCACGATCTATTTAAACCTTGGTTTTTCTGAGCGAGGAGGTGGTGTTTCCTATCTCCCAGTCTAGTCACCTTCGCTGCGCACTTCTCTCTCTCTCTCTCTCTCTCTCTCTCTCTCTCTCTCTCTTTTCTTCTTAGACTATTGTTATTATTATTAAAGTATCTAAGATGGGCATAATCATCTTATTCGTGTGCGACTTTCAACCTTTCTTTGTAAACACCTATGTGCATTCCTTGAGCCCACGAGTTGATCATCGCAAGCAGACGTAGGGTCTCTGGCCATTTTATCATCCAAGTTTTAGAGTTTTCAAACTGCTGAGAGAGGTGCGGAATTTTACTATTGGTTTTTATCATACATGAATTTGCATACTTAGGCTTCAAAGCTCTCTTACGTTGAAATGTCTCCAACCATTCAGTTAGAATTTCAAGGAATCCTGGTTGTTGTTTCTACTGTCTAGGGTTGAGGATTTTTGGGGAACCAAGATCTTCAAGGTTCTGAAAAAGTAACTCACGATGGTTAGTTTGACGATAAACTGCAAAAGATTGTGTTGTGCTCCGGATCTGTCAGTGTGTAGATGTAGTTGGTGCGGGTTGAACATGAGGGAGGCCTTGAATTGGACGTTTGTGCCGGATTTGCATTTGTGGGTTTGTGTTCTACGCAATAGGGGGTGCTAATATTTTCTCAGAAGAGTGTGTGACTGATTGGCAATGTTGCCATGGTTGCAGCAGGTGAATTATGTGTTGGAATGTTGTTGAAGGGTAGATTAACGCCTGAAACTATCCCAAAAATTAAAATGAAAAGAAGAATTCGAAGAGAAATGTAGTCAAGAAACAACCTCTTGGACATCTGTTAATTGTCGTGCGCGTAATTTCAAAATTGGTGTTTGAAGTGGATCAGGAATTAGTGATGAAGGTTGCATGAGATGTAATTTCCCGTTTAATGAAAAGCTTGAAGGGCTCGCGAAAAAAGATTATAAAATGCAGTATGTTCGGGGCAAGGCGGTCCACGGTTACAGGGCATTGCATGACACATTCTACTCCATTAAGGTGCCCCATCTTTACTTATTTCCTCATACCACTAGTTATTCATGTTTCTTAAACAGTTTTCCATGATAAAGTGTTGCTGAAGTTGATCAATCCCTCATTTGCAAGTGTTTGTATCCATGTGTAGTGAAGGTCATGGTCTACAACTTAAAGGCATAAAGATTTTTTTGCGTGTTATTTAGACAGATGGTTTGAATTCGTGAATGTGATGGCATGATCTTCTCGACTATGATCGGCAATGTTACACTGATTCCACCTTCTGGGTTGTGTTACAAGTCCGCATTGTGTTTTCTTCTTCAGCTTTGATTCATTAAGGGTTGGTTAATTTGTGATTTGCTTCTATTTACAGATTGTTTGCCATACTCTTACGTGGCTTCAACCAAAAGCTCTTCTAGCTCAGTCAGAAAGTAATCGTGCTCCTGCTTGGTGTGCAGGCTGTATTTGAAAAGCACAACGTGGTTTTCACCATTGGAGCATCTCTGGCATCAGCGGGAGCTGCATGGGCAGGTGATCTTCCACTTCACTATTTAGCATCTCCTTAATGATATTTTAAAAAATACCTTTGTTTTAGTACTGAGAATTGAATGTACATGATAAAATTGCACGTAACTTGTGAGCTAGAAATCCTGAAGACAGTCATTTAACCAATTTGGTATGCGGAACTCACTTAACCAAGGAATTATTGAGCTTTTTAGGCAATGTGGAAAGCTCCATGTTCAGATCAAGCCGAACTCAAGTATTCCGGATCAGTTTGATTCGTGTATTTTGTGTTGGATAGGATACACGGCACGTCAATTGCATCAAAGGAAAGTGGAGGAGCGACTTAACTCTATTGAGCAAGCGGTAAGGATTTGACATTTTTGGGATGTTATAGAACATTGTCAGGCGTGGTTTCTTACCAAAGGTTGTGTCAAGCCGCTTCTCTCATTTGCCTAAATTGTTAGGGCAGGTGTGTTGTCATTTGCTTGTGAAATGTCTTGGTTAAGCATTTGTCCGTGAACCTGAATTTCATCAACCGGTGTCGCTGTAAGCTACCCTTCATATTTCCTTGAGCTTTCAACAACTTTTGCTGGGAGTCAGATGACTACAGTGCACAACTTGGAGGTGGAGCAAGTGCAGGCGATAACGAAAGGGATTGGTGTTAGCTATCCTGCTTGTGCAGCTACTGCTACTACTACTTTAGTTGTCGGGTAACAGTTTTCATTCGCATAATGCCCTTGAACCTCGAAATTAATTGACAGTGCACTCGGCTGGTAGATAGATTCTGTCATCTGATTTTGGATTAGTAAGAGCTGAGTACTAACAGGGTCTTGAACGTTGCAGGTATGCACTTGGATTTCGCGGTGGGCGTAGATATACTCTAAACAGAATACGCAAGCAACAACAGAAGCCGCTTGCCCTATCGAAGCTCAACGTGACAAAGCTGTCGAGGTTTTCTCAAGTTTTTCAAAGAGCGATTGTCCGTCCTTCCCGAGCAACTGACCCACTGCAGGCTAATTGTGATACGAAGCAGGATACCAAGCAGGAGCTCACATTGAATGCACTTGAAGCAGTGGGAGTAGTTGAAGCACCTAAACCAGTCATTAAATGATGGACCACTCCTCTTTTTGCTTTGCGACTAGCGTTTTATGTTTTAGCACCATTCTAGTTGTTAGCCTGAAAAGGCTGGTGTCCGGACGTAGTGTTTAAGAATCTTGAGTTCTCAGGTTTACTCAGGACTCGAAATATTTTTGTACAACTGAATCGTACCCATTGGTTTCTGACAGTAACGTTTGAATTATAGTTTATAGCTGTGTTTATTCCGCAGAACTGAGTGTACTTATTATAGTTTTGTAGCGATGGTAATTTATTGTTAACCGTCTAGATTTCTTAGGACGGTAGTTCAGCACTTATTTGTGAGCTGAAAACGTGAGACGGCCACTTGGAAGACATTCCTTTGATCATGTTGGCTTATACTTCAACAGATTAATATTGATTTTCTCCCCAGTATGGCAACCATGTGGATCTAGGCCTTGCACCCATCCGTCAAACGGATTATATTTTATGGCTGCCTCGTTGTTGTTGACTGTGTAATTCCACTAAATTTTGAGAGATGCAGAAGGTCATCATATGATCAATCTTCAACACCATGGAAGCAGGAAAATATTGATGTTCACGGGGTAAATGGATCCCATTAATTCTTGAGTTGCGGAGTTGATAGCATTGAGGTCATTTTGACGTTTGTAGTTTCTAATATTGTCCGAGGCAGCACGGCCCTCACGAACTGGAAATTACTAGATGAAGTAAAATTAGTCAGAAGCTGAAGCACTAGTTTCGAGAGTAACAATTGACAAATCAAAAGTCCTCCACTGTAAAAATAAGCTGACTCCCGAATCAAACCAAATGGTCAAGTGCAGATATTGTCATGATGTACAGTGCCCTGCATAATATATGAAGGGGAAGAGGACAATGAAAATGAAAATGAATGAGCAAGGGGACCTGGCTCGGTTGTGCTCCTTGCCTGGCCTTGCCGTCCAACATGTGCGAGAGAGAGAGTGCTTGTCTAGAGGGCAAGACCTCCCACTGTTCTCAAGCTCTTAGTAAGAGAGAGAGGGAGAGAGAGATATAGTGGCTCTGCTGTTTCGCAGATCCCTGATTCCTCTTGATCGTCGCTTTCCTCTTTCAGTCCTGCCCATCCTGAGCTTGTCATATCTTCTTTGAAGTCCCTTCGAGCCCCTTTTCTGTTTCCGTCCGCCTCTCCGCTCTCCTTGCTTCATCGTATTTCCTATTTCTCTGTCTGTTTTCTTCTACGTTCCCTACTGAAGGAAGTTGCTGTGGCTCTCTCGCCACTCCCAATTCGGTGATTGAATCGGATGCTTATCTCTTTTTCCGCTCCTCCATCTAGCATCTAATTTGTGGGCGTAGTTTTAGGTCATACTGCGTTTCATTGATCTGGCTTCCCCGCCCTGGTCGTCAGAAGCAGCATTTATTGGAATGCTATTCATGGCCTTTGGATGCCAGCGTTGTAGCAATACTTTGGCTTAAACGAGATTGGTGAAGTTGTCGTCACGATTTTTTTATTGCCTGGTTCAGTTCTGATGATTCTGGCTCTAACCAGGTTGAGGTGCCTTCAGAACTTTCAGCCTTTGGCAACGGAATCAATCGTAAGTCTGCTCATGTAGGCCTTTGAGCAATTAGAGAAACAGATTGAGCAATTATGCTGGAGAAGAGACGTGGTCTTTGATTGCGGATTCTTGCAGGTTTTAGCACTTCTGGTCACAACAAGGTGAAGGAAGTTCGACTGGGGAGCAGCTGTTGAAGTTTTTCATATTCAATCTTTCTTGTATCATTGGATCGTATAATTATGAGTGGTGGAGACTGGGCGGTGGAGGGAATTTGAAGTGACTGGTATATATATATATATATATATTCAAGTCGATCCGCTATGGCGCTTACATCAGCCGAGGACCTTTCAAGGGTCTATACTCTTCTACGTGATGCCCTGAGACAGGATGAGGCTACGCGCAAGCCAGCAGAAGCAACATTGGCTGCTTGTGAGGGTCGGCCTGGTTTTTGTTCATGTCTTCTGGTGAGAATAATTTCCGCTGAAGATCTTGATACATTTTTCTTCTAATTGCTTCTTTAATGCTTTGAAAGAAAGTTCAGCAGATGATCCCGTATTTTTCTTGCCTCCTTTTTTAGGGCTGATCTTAATCGCGTATAGCATTATCTAAACACGAATTTTCTTCTTCGAAAAGGTTGCTTGGTTGGTGATTTCATGCCGAATTGTCTGTCATGTTAATATTCGCAGTGCGTTTGCGGACTGTCTGGACTTCACTTGATGTGACTAATCAAATATCAGATATGGTTCTTGTATTTGTGGAGATTTGTATCCTTGAGTAATGTGGCAAATCAAATTGTGGTGTGGGGTTTATCACATGTACTTCCACTTTATTGCGTCAGAAACCCACACTTTAGGGTTTTGTGGTAAGTTGTGGGAAGAATGAAGTCATAGTTCGAAATGCTCATGCATTTGAGAGGATGTTGACCGAGTGATTCGAGGTGTCTCAGTCTGTGGTAACGTCTGCAAATACCTTGTAGCGTCTTCGTGGTCGATTCCAATTGGTTCTTTTTCAGATGTTTACTTTCACGTATCCAAATTCAGTCCTCGTGCCGGTGGGCAATGGGCAATACTCAAGGTTTTTGTTAAGTTCATTAAAAAGACATTTTAAATTCAAAATTTTCATATTTTAATATATTCTATGTTCAACTTAGATCATAACTTGAAAGCGAAAGAGAGATTTATGGTTCCGGGAAATATTTTTTGCTCTCTCCTATAAATTGTGTGTATCTTAAAGATGTAGAACCCTTGGCCTATTTTTTCGTTTGGAGTACTTCATTTATGATTCGAGGTGAATGTGAGTTTTATTTTTGGATTTCTGCCTGTCATCTTGCTGCTTCACTTTTTCAGATTTTGTAGCATCGTTAGCCGAGATTTTTCCTTTGCATGTTGGTGAATGCCTGCTCTAACTCTGTTATGATACGGCCACACTCTAATGGCAACTGTAGGAGATTATTGGTGCTAAGGATCTGGAACACCAAAGTGATGCTCGATGGCTGGCGTCAGTTTATTTCAAAAACAGTATCAACCGATATTGGAGGACTCGTCGTGATTCTCCGTGAGTGCTCACTGCTTGAACAGAATTCTATTTTCCGGAGTTCACGAATGGTATCTGAGTCGTTTACGAGATACTTTCTGCATGTTCAACTTTTCTTTAGGAATACGTATTACCTTTTGTATCTAGTAATGCCGCATATCCAAGAATCAGTGCTTATCTATTTTAGGCTTTCATGGTGTTTTTAAGTGCTGTCCCGGTGTCAGCCAGAGTCTTTGGACTAAATCTGGGCATAGTCCCGTTTCATGTCATAGGCTGCAATGCTGTCCATATGGAAAATGGCTTGACACTTTTTGGGGCTCACAGGGGCATAAGTGATGCAGAAAAACCTCATTTACGGAGCAGGCTGCTTGATTTGCTTAGAGAGGAGAATAACCAGGTCTGCTTTTTGTGAATGATTCTACATGAGTTCATCGTCCCCCCCTCCCCCCTCCTGCCCTAAGCGGGCTTCTTCTTTCTTGTGTGATGCAGTTTCTGAAGTGTACATGTTTATGTCGAACCATATCTAACCTACTGTTTGATGTGGCAGGTTGCTGTCCAATTAGCACTTCTTATTTCAAAAATTGCTCGATTTGATTACCCACGAGAATGGTACGTTGTCGTCAAGATGTTTTAATTTTTCAATTGCGGTTTGTGTTATGGTTGGCAACTATTTTTTCCCTTTTATCTTACTAAGTTATTGGATGAAACGTCTTTATTCTGCCATGCTGTAAATGCTCGTTGGTGTTTTTTCGTGTATTGTTGACTGGTATGTAGCGAAATGGGTCGCAGGCCAGAGCTATTCCCAACTTTACTGCAGAAATTGCAAATTCCCGATGTACTTGCAACTCAACGCATATATTTGGTGCTTAATCAAACTCTGAAGGAGCTTTCTACTAAACGTTTAGCAGCTGATCAACGTAATTTTGCGGAGGTATGTTACTTGAATCAGGCTTGTCACTTCCTTACATTGATTAAACTGAATACGAGTCGTATTTCTCTTGGTTGTCAGTTGCCAATTGCCAGTGAGATGCCAATGAGGAGTCCCAGTTGCATTGTTCCATTTAATTGGTCATGGTTTATGCTTATATTTTAAAAGATTTTAGATGTTCTGCTCAGCGAGGGTGCTGTAATCTTCCAGGTTTTTGATTATGCTTGGATGTTATTTTATTCCCTTGAGTGTCTTGGATTAGATTTTTGTATCTTCTTCCTCGAGCAATCTTTGTTTTGTTCATGCTTTTCTTTCTTTCTTTCTTTCTTTCTTTCTTTCTTTCTTTCTTTCTTCTTCTTCTTCTTCTTCTTTCTTTTTATTTATTTTTATAAAAGAAATATTAGTTTCTTATTATTGTCAATCAGTCATTCTCAGCATGTATCTTTTTCGTAAGTGACACACCAGCACACTGAACAGGAACATAGTTCAATGAAAGAGCATTACTTGTAGTAGTTGGAGCGACTTTCTGACTTTGGCAATTGCATCTGTCCATCGTGTTAAGTAAATGGCCATGCAAGTATATGTAAAGCATCGATTCTAGCTTGCTGTGCATTGCCTGCTTTGTATTTATGGTTTCCGTGTCGCAGGTGACAGCCCAATATTTTGAGTACACATGGCACCACTGGTGTACGGACACTCAAGTTATTCTTCAAGGTCTTCAGTCACTTGTCTCAGATCCTCAGAGTTTAATTATTGTTTCAGACCAAGATCAGGTATTCCAGCTGACATGCGAACGCTGGATGTTATGCCTGAAAGTACTTCGTCGAATGTTAATACATGGCTTTCAAAACGATGCAAAGTCTGTTCAGGTGCGCTTCACTGAAAAGTTTTGAGATTGTCAAAATGAATTTTTGATTTTGTAGAGAGATACCACCTTAGCTGTTCCAACGAAAAGGTGTTGTAGCTTTCGAACAAAACTTCTCTTATGGCATGTGATGTTTTTTCTTAAGAAAAGGAAAATGACTGTCATTTAGGGTAAGCGAGTACCTACTCATGGATGTCTTCGAATAGTTTTCACTCTTGTATTTAGATTTGTTATGTACTCATTTCCGCTCTACATGACTTGTGCAGGAAGTAGGTCCAGTGAAAGATGTTTGTCCTCCATTTTTACAAGCAGTTCAGGAACTGCTGAAGTACCGTAAGTTACACTCCTATCCCGTTGCTAGCTTAGACTATGTTTGACACGTCGATCATACCAGCTACTCGGGCAATTTACATACTATCTTGTATTTCATCGTGACCCATTCTTCGAGAGCCAGGCATGAATAAGTTTGCATTTGTTGCAGGTACTGCGTTGAAACATGGGCAGGTTTTGCATGCTTTTGTGGATAAGGCATGCTTGAAATTAATGAAGATATTTGTAGAAGTTCAATCTACTCATCCTTACTCATTCAGCAACAGGGTCGTGCTTCCGTCAGTGTTGGAGTTCTGCTACATACAGATAACAGAAGTGAAGGAGGATAATGTACCTTTTGAGCCTTTCTTGATCAAGTGTATGATCTTTGTTCAGAGTGTTATCCAATGCGGTGCTTACAGACCCAACAAGACTGGTAGGGTAGTTGGGCAGAGCACTACTACCATGGAAGAAACTAAAGCAAATTTGGCAAGACAGGCCGAAGAAATAGTAATGTCTCTATTGAACAAGCAACGCTTGGTGGTACTATGTGAAATTTTGGTTCGAAGGTACAAACATGCTTTGACCTTCCCTGGGTTGGCTTTTGTGAGCGGAAACTGCTCGAATCAAAGCCTACAGCTTCTTGTCTTTTGTTCTGATTCTCCAGTGCTTAGTGCATGTGCTTAAGGTAGTTTCATTTTTTGTAGATACTTTGTACTCACACCTGCGGACCTGGAGGAATGGGCACAAGATCCTGAATTATTCCACCATGAGCAAGATCTTGTTCAATACAAGGAGAAGATACGGCCTTGCGCTGAATCTCTATATCTATCTCTATTTGAATGTCATCGAGAGGTATATTCTGATTTTATTTCCTCCTGACATCAGATCTTACAGATTTTTTGTTTGTGTGTTGTTCCCTGGGTTGTCTTTGCCACGCAAGAAGTCTTAAAATATGCTACTCAGTCCTCTAATATGACAGTAATTTTGATGACGTTTCTGGTATTTGTCAAGTGGTAGGTGTTATATAATATGTTTTCTCGAAGTCGAGTTACGTTTTAGGCTTGACAATAATGTGTGTGTTCTCTGACGTTATCTTGCATTTATTTAGATTCATGTGCCTGGATTGATTGCAAGTACGTGTATGCTTTTTTATGTTCCCATTCCTGTTTGATTCCAATCGAAGAACACGTCTTTACTGCAGCTTTTAGCTCCGGTGGTGGTCGGGATACTCAAACAGGCCTCAGAAGCATGTCCGGCTGTTGCTGGAGCAGATGTACAAATTACACCTGCCTTGCTACTGAAAGAAACTGCATACAATGCAGTTGGGGCAGCGTACTATGATCTTCATGATTATATTGATTTCAAATCTTGGTGCGTTGATCTTCCAGAAGTGATAACCTTCCCACGTTAGAAACTGGATGTCTTTAGGACAGAATCGTATTCGTAATTTTATTTATTTATTGATTTAAAGTGTTTTTTTGATTGCGCGATTCTTTTCTTTCAATATGGATGGTCTCGCTTTTGTATTGAGGAGGGTGTCTAAGAAATGGCTCTCGGATGCTCAGGTCAGTGACTAGTCATTTCGTCCATGGTTTTTAAGAACATTTAGATTTTATGTCCTCTATTAGGGTTTTAGAAGTTGGCTTTGTCGAAGAGTATTTTCTTTTCCACATTAATTTTCAAAAGTTAGTATTGTTGAATTCTGTCCCTGCTTCAGGTGGGAAGGTGCTCTTGTTCATGAAATGAGTAATCTCCATCCAAATGGTCGAATCCTCTCGCGAAGAATTGCTTGGCTCTTGGGAAAGTGGGTGAACAAGGTTTGCATTTCATGAGCTCGTGTTTTTATGAAATTTTCTATCGCGTAATTGTTCTGATTTTGCTTTATGTTTTTCAGTTGCTTTTACTGGACTTTTTTACAACTTGAGTGTAAAGACAATACGGTAGTTTATTCTTTATTGGCGCGGGGCTGACGTGACCACTCTTCTGAGCTAGTAGTGATAAGATCAGCTGATTCTGGGTACCGGGATTATGTTTGTAATAGATCAAAGGCGAGCTAAGAAAGCCTGTTTACAGTGCTTTGATAATACTACTGGGTCATGGTGATCTAGCAGTACAGGTACGGGTTCATTTTTCCTGTCCACACTACTGTCTCATTTAAATTGGATATAAGTCGGTGGATCTTAATTTTTCTCATGCAATATTTTATGGGCACAGTTTACTTGAATGCTGATTTCCACAAGGTTTGGCATTTCAAACTGAAACGGCTATTTTATGTTGGTGTAGTTGGCAGCGTGCCACTCATTGCAAAACTTAATAGACGACGTTCATTTCTATGAAGAAGAGTTCTTGGAATATGTGCCCACGTGTTTGGGGCTTTTGATCCAGTTCATGCAAAACGCACAAGAGTTTGACTCCAAGGTCTGGCATTTTAAGTCTTGCACCATCATTTGGTCCTGTTCAACCTACCTTCCAATTCCTGCGGTGCACGGAAAAAGCATCAATATTGATGCTTAGATTTGCCACATGTACAAAATTGGATGTATATAACAACCAGCTCTTGTTCTCAACATTTGTTTTTCATTTGTTGCAGCTCCAGATTTTCAACCTTGTGTCTCTTATAATTGATCGCCTTGGTGGGAAGATTGTACCATGTGTTGATAAGATTCTAGCATTTCTGCCTCAGGTAAGATGGGGTGTTTTACATGCAGTGAAAAAATTAGCTCCTTATCGACCACTTTGCGGATTGCGGATTCTGGGACTAAATGGTTAAATTGGTCCAATCATTAACTTATTTGTCCTACAACTCTACCCCTTACCTACGCCCGGTACTGTCATTTGTTGACCCGGGCATCATGTTTCTGAAAGGATCCTCACTTAGGTTAAGTAAATTTGAATTATTGTGCATCACTAGTATCACTCTAATTATAAAGCCGTGTTCTTTTGCTTGAAAATGGCTAATCGCGAACTGATGCCGAAGCATTATCATCTATATGCTTTTTGTATGCTGTGTCGATTTGTCCGATTTCCGATGATCTTTCCCTTCCTCACCTGTATCATTCAAATGATGATTGGATTCATGCATTCCAACATAAGAGGAAAAAATACTACAATGATGTCTCTTATAATGAGTTGTGCACAGGTTTGGCAAGATTCAGAGGGACAGAGCTTGCTGCAAATTCAAGTGATGCTTGCACTTTCGCGTCTGTTGGTTGCACTTGGACCACGCTCTTCAATCTGCTACGACATCCTTTTTCCAATTTTGCAGTGTAGTACAGATGTGAATCAACCTGATGAACTTAACATGTTGGAGGATGGTATGCAGGTACACACACTGAGTTCATTTACTAGTTTTTACTATCGCGGTCTTCGTTAGCCAAAACATGCGTTGTTCTAAATTCGTTGTTCTAAATGTCTGATAAAATGTGAAGTTTATTATTGTTGTAAAATAGCCTCGGGATAACCTTATCTATAGATATCTAGGGACTGCATTCTGGGATTTGAGATACTATTTGGCAAGGCATGGAGATGTGGGATTTAGTAAATTCCAAGTGTTTTGCACAACTATGTAAAGGACATTGTGCCATCAGTCTTTCACATTCTACGATAACATGTGCTGTTCGTGAACTTCGGAAAGAGTGATTATTCCTACATACATCAATTTGTCTGTATTGAATTTCTGCGATGTTTACAGAGAAATTGACTTGCTACGTTTTCACATTACATTTCTTAATCCTGTTGCATGGAGCTGCAGTTGTGGGAAACGACATTGAGAAATGCCGCCGTCATGGTTCCTCCACTTATGAATCTATTTCCTCATCTTGTTGCTGTTATGGAGCGCAATTTTGATCATCTTCAGGTGAGCTGGTGTTCTGATCAGAGTGTTGAAGCTTTAGTCTGAATTTCTACGAAGTGATGGCTTAGTACCAGAAACCTATTTTGCTGAAATTCGTTTGGTATACTAGTCAACCGCTAGAGTGTCTTGGTTGGCTCTAGTAGTTACTTCAAATTGATTTTTTTCATATTCAAATAGTAAGTTGACCTTAAATTTGTTCAACATGCATTGTATTAATGTCTTCGTGTGGTGTTTGGTCTAAATATGTGGCTGTTGTACATGCAGGCTGCCATGAATATCATTCAGAGTTATATTCTCCTTGGAGGAGCTAACTTTGTAAGGTCGAATGCTAGTGGTGTGGTGAAAATCTTTGATGTTGTTGTTGGAAATGTGAAAGAGAAGGGAATGTTGTATACCCTCCCTGTTATCGACTCTCTTATTCAGGTGTCTTACTTATCTTCTGTTGGTATGGGTTCTGTTCAATCTGATTAAGCCAGATGCACAGCTCTTGTTCTTTGGTTTTTTATTGATTTATATTTCAGGTTTACTATTATGGATATTATTGACACTGAATTTCCTCTTGTTTTGTTGTTTGAATATGAAATATTGTGTCGATTGTGTCTGTCCATATCGTATCTGTACTGAACATAGTATAAGTGATGGTTTTGCAGTGCTTTCCTGTGGACGCACCGCCTCTTTTGGAGGGAATCCTGCAGGTATAATTTTTGATGTCTTTTTTGTGGTTGTAACGAATTAAAGCATAGAGTATAGAGTTTGTTGTTTTTCGCCATATATTTCTAAATATTCAAAAGTAACCCCTTAAACACTTGCAGCCAAGGTGTGCACTAAAATAAGGCAACCCAAGTGTATAATGGTTAAGAGTCGGGGGTTTGTTATGTTGTGGCTTGTTTTCTAGTTAGATTTTCTTATTTCTTTTTATTTCTTTTGTTTCTTATTTCATTTATTTATTTTCCCTTTTCCATGAGGAGCTGTAGAAAGACTTGAGGTTTCACTTCAAGTGCAGTCTTGCTTGCAATTTTTTGGTTATGTTTCGCGGGAATATTATTTATAGTACATTATTGATGTGCAGTTTGTAGATAAGATATTACACAAATTCCTTCTAATGTTTCCACTAGGAGAGGGTTGAGAGCTTGCTTTGTTTGAATTATCTGCATCTTACAAGTCTCGTTGGAACGCAGAAACTCTTCGTGATGGTAGCAAGTGGGCGTGATGACGCTGATCTTGTGAAGGCATCCGCAGGAGCTGTGTTAGCAAGAGTTTTTGTCCAAAACAATGCGTTCTTTGCACAATTTACATCGCAACCATCTCTTTTCCTTGCTCTACAGCAATCAGGGATGGTTGTGTCGGACCAGATTCCACTTTTTCTCTTCTTTGATGCCTGGCTTGACAAGGTAACAATAGTTTTGTGGTTTTACTCAAAATTCTTTTTGTTTCTGTTCCCAGAAACTCGATAAGTAATTATTATCTTGTGGGGTTTTCATGATCCCACATTTGCTTTCTTTTGTATGATCCATGTTCTTTCACATGATTTACAGCATACAGTGTATGATTAATAGAGCAACTCTGTTTTTCAGGTGGATTCCTTGACGAGCATGCTAAAACGGAAGTTGTGTGCTCTTGCTCTTTGCATACTGCTTACAGTTAGCCAGCCACAAGTCCTGGACAGACTTGAACAGATTCTCAGGTATGCTTTAGTACTACATAATTTGAGGATTTTCTCTGTTGGACGTGCAATAGGAACAAATCTATTACGTCCTATTTGGTTGATTGCACATTGAATCAGAATCTATAAGATAGAATCTCATCTCACAAGTTTGCTATTCTGTTACTTGTCCTATTATTTGTCATTGGGAAGGTGTCGCAGTCCCCACAATAGATAGATCTAGGTCAGTTCAAGTATGCTTCCGCATTTGGCTTACTAAGAAACAGTGGATGAGATTGGATACTGAAAGAGACCTTAAACTGGAATTTAAAAACTGACTTTTAAGTGCTTGGTTGAAAATGTACTGTGGAAGTAAGATCTATTTTAACTACTGTGAAATTCCTCATCATGTCCTTCATGAACCACACACTGTTTTATACAAAATCAAGTTCGAAGAGATTGACTCTGTATGAAGCTCTGTGAAGCTTGCGTCCAGCAAGGCTATTTATTTCCGAACTACCTAGCATTTGGTGGTGTGCTCGTCTTGATTAATGTGTGTCTGTTCAAAATATATTTTGGCAATGTCTAACTCAGATTGGCATGTTTTGACTTGCAGTGTTTGCACCAGCGTCCTTCATGAGACTGCGGAAGAAAATAACGCCAGTGCATCAAGGTGTGGTTCGAGGATTTTGTTCTTTTATTTTTGTAAAATTCTAGTGCTTGTGTTAAAAGATGGTTTATATATTACTGTAAAATTTATCTAATACGAAATTTACTATTCAAGTGAAGATTCTCATGATCCAATTTTGGTGTGGCAGTTATGACTATAGCAGTGTAGAAGACGGATCGATGGGATCCGTGGAAAGTGAAGAATCCAGGAAAAGACAGGTAACATTTTTGAGCTTTTGACATCCCGGAGCAAATCAAGGGTGTTTTATTTGCTATCGTTGATTGGTACTTATTGATTTCCTTTATTGCTGCTCTTAATTAATCTGAAGTATTGCGGTTATATCTTGACAACTAATTGTGGATTGCAATATACAGGTCATCAGTGCAGATCCAATCGTTAAAGTTCCACTTGCTCCTTTTCTGAAAGAGAAGCTACAAACTTGTGCCCAAGTTCACGGTAACGCTGCTTTCAATATGACAATGGCTAAGCTCCATCCAACCCTTCTTGATCAGCTCCAAAAGCTTATGCAATCATGACGGCCCCAAAAATAGTCAGTAGAGTTATACGTGCCATGCTGTGCCTTGCTTAGCTGGTGTATTCATCCTCATTCAGGAGAGGAAAGACAAGGGATCTCCCTCATTTATATAGAAAATTACTACGGTGCATTTTTCAACTTGTTTGAGAGGAGACTTCTGCTATCAAGACCTAAATTTTTAAAAATCTGCAGGATTCACCTTGACCAGTAAGTTTTCGTTACCGATGCCATTTTATTGAGTCACTCTGTTCTACCAATCTTTGGGAGGACCTATGTTTTTGCTATGTAATAAAAACCGACAGAAAATTCGTTGGCTTGACGAGGAACAATTTCTTCCTCTTTACTCTTGAAGATGTATGTCTGTTCCTGATGCGATTTCTCGCGTGTTGCAGGTGCATGTGCTTCTTGAGTATTGGGTAGCATTACTTCAAATTTTGTGTTTGATTCTCAAGGATCGTTTGTAGCCTTTCAGCTCCGTTTTCACTGTGGCTGAGAATATAATAGGGTTGACTGTAGTGAGCGTCAACCCATCTTGGTGAGGAGCCAATTGGGGTGTCCCTCAAGTTCTCGTCTTGAAAGTCATTTAAGAGTTTACTTGCCGAGTTTTGTCCCGTTTATTCTGAGTGCAACACAATTGTGATTGGCTTGTAGGATTAGGTTCATTTGATGGGTAGAGTCTATATGGCTGTCCATCAGATTATATTAGTGAGTTAAAATTTTGCTCGCAGCCCTTTATTAATGAAAATCATTCATCGTGACCCATAATCATTTTCTCAGAACTGGTTTCTCAAACGAAAAGCAGCCCCTATCTACATAAGCGCAGGATATATGCCGTGTACACTTGTGATACCTAGAAGAGTAGCATCCTTAATTGATTGCGTCAAAAGGATGCTATCCTTGCCTGTAAGTGGCCAGACTTGGCAAGTTGCACGGAGCATGTCCTGCGGGCACCATACTGATTATTGGTTCCGAATTGGCTATTAATTAACTTCTAATTTATACATACCACCCACCAGTATAACCTCAATGGCGTTGCCCATCGTTCTGTTCACCCAGTTCCGAATCTTGAAACTTGCACGACAAGAGTGATGCCAGCATCCAGAGTCACTGGCCAATTGGGCGTGGCGAACAAGCGACGTGGAGCCACGACGTCTTTTTGAATATAAAAATAGAACTTGAGTAAGAGCAGACAAAGGGAAACCAGTGGGATTAGCGATGGAATATTGTTCAGGGGCATGTAAGTTAAATGGACAGAAGAATAGGAAGATACTTGTGATGTGATGCACAGAGAGGGGCAGGGCGCCATAGGATGGTATATCTGAATCCGGATCTGTTGGCCGGGTGACGAGAGCATAAGGCGGGTCTGATGCGGCGGGCCCCGCTAGCTGTCTAGGCATCAGGTGCTTCATTGCTTTAGAATTCTGCTTTAGCATGGAGGTACTATTGCAGCGTGGCTCCTGTTCAGCAACTCTTGTTCGCAGCGTCGACTTCGACTTCCAGGTCTGTCTGTCCGTGTCGCCTTCACTGTGGGAATCACCCGTTGCCCCTCTTGCGGTCGATTTCCTCCCTTTCCTGCTTCTCTTTCTCAGAATTTGGTACGGAGGGAGGGAGAGAGGGCGGGATCGAGACACCATGGTGCAGACGTTAATTGATGGGGCCCTAGGGCTTGTTACCACTTTGGAGTTTTACATGCCGGCTGCATGTGAGGGGTCGAGCCCTCGTTGGTCTGGTGTGCAATCCGTGAGGGTTGTGGCAGCCGTGTCGAGTGGGGCACCAGTACAAGATGCTACGGCTGCTCCGCCGGTTCGGCGGAACTGCTATCAGCTGGCACCGAGCACGCTGACGCTGAAGGCGAGGAAGTCGCGGAAGCGGGGGGGTGGAGGCCGGAGCAATGGCGAAGGCGGCGATGGACACGATGGCGGAAATGGGAACTACGGTGGAGATGGAAGCTGGGGCGGGAGTGGCAATGGCAAGGGAGGTTGGGATTCTTGGGGGGAGAGTTGGGACGATGACATTCGGCCTTGGAAACAGGGTACGAGCGCGTTGGCTCTACTTTACCAGGCAGCATGTTGGCTTTCATTGTCAAACTGCTTGCACTATGTGTTGACACTAGCATTTCGTTGTCCAAACATGTACTCCATGTGGTTGTCGGTACTAGGTGTGTACATAACTATTTCTTTGTCCAAGTGCGTACACAATGTTCTTTCATTATTACCCTAGGATCGGGTTCGGATCTGCTGCGTTGTGTCAGGGAGACGAGGTTCTGGTTGACAAGGTCGTGTATTGTGGGAGCAGTGGTGCTCTCATGTTGGTATAATGAAACTGGTTGATTAGGTTCGTAGATGTGGATTCTCATGGTTCGTGGCTTACAGATCCTGGAAAGAGGGATCTTTTGTTCACACCGACGAGACTTCCGTCTATCAATTGTACATATTCTATGCAGGCACAGTCATGAGTTCACTTATGACTGCCTTCGACAATCCGATCGATATTGCATTCCAATGGATAGAATGAGAGGATTCCCCGATTCGTTGACATCTATTATCGGCCTTGGCCGATTTCTGTGGGTTACTAGTCGGCTGACTGTGCGTCTGAGTTTTGGAGGAGCGAAGCAATCAACATCGTTTCGGCACCGCTTTGACGGAGATTTGCGCCTTCCGAAATTACATAGCGCTTCGGGAGACTATTAATCCTTAAACGGCTACTGTTTTCGCTGATACTTTTTTGCTTTAGGATTTTTTTTTTACTGAGAACACTCTCAGTATTTTATGTGCATACTTTGTGCATTAATTAGGGTGGATTGTTCGATTGATTAGGTTGTGATCAACGACTGAAAAGTTAGGTTGTGATCAACGACTGAAAAGTACTGTCTTTTTAGACCATGTAATTATGAAAGTTGTACTGAGGCAGTTAAATGTCATATGTAATATTTTCATCGTCTCTGTATATTTGCATATCATTGTTTTCGTCACACTTTCCAAGCATTGAAATTCAGTATTTTTTTAATGAGAAGGTGTTTTAAGTTTTGTACAATTCCAGCATAGGAACTCCTGAAAACCAGGTTAGTGCATCGTTATGTTCCTATATACAGATTCACACATCTGACCTGCACATTTGTGGCGAGGTAACGCTTTGCCGCAGAGGTCACAGAACGTTTAGAGGGCACCGTTCATTTACATGTGTCTACGAATTAGTCTTTTAATTTGAGGGAATCAATTGCTCTTGTACCTTTTTAACTTCATAGTGCTAATTGTTTTTGTACATGGAGAATTTTTTTGTCTCAATGTATGTCCCTGACTGTTGTAGAATCCAATCCAGAGTTTTGATTTATCCTCAGGTCTGATTTTGAACGTATCTCACGAAGAGGTCTGTTTTTTGCTTACATTTTCACGTCAGCAGTTTCGATGCTGATACAGTAGTCTATTTTCATTTTCAGCTGAGCTTGGTTGATCATGAAGCAGCAACTAAATACCCTAGAGCTAATGTTGGCCATTCGTGGTGTCCTGTGTGTGTGATTGATGGTAAAGAATGTCGTAATTTAGGGTAAGAAGTGTGGTAAGCACTTGATAACTCACCTAATTTTAGAACCTCTCCAGTATGGCTTTTGTACATATTAGTCTTGTGCAGTTACTCGACTCTGAAGAAGAAGGTTTAGTGTGAATCATGGATATACTGGTATGGGAATATACGTAGTTTGAGAGTGTTCATCTTACAATTATTCCATGTTTGAAAGGATTGTTCTTGATTTTAATATATAAATCTCTTAATTTCTGCTTTGCTTGGTAGGGTTCCTCGATTTTGATAGCAGCTGTCAGGTATTGTTGGTGTAATCAATATCTTCTGGTACTATAGGGTATGTACGTCTACAGCGCCACATGAAAGTGATGAGTAGTTAATTGAGATACTTTAGAAGATTTATTTTTTTCCAAGATCTTACTCCAAAATCAAAATTTACGAATTATGGTTAGGAAGAATGTTCATAGATGTGTTAAAAATTTATTATGAAATCTTGCAGCGTCTGGTTTTTTGTCTTCTCTTTAAACTTAGCAAATTGAGTTTCTGTTTTTGCACTACTCATTGAGTCGTGAAGGGCTATTGACGAGATGATCAAAACATTCTCTTGCATCCCTGAGAAAATTGTAACCACATTGTACGGCATTTTGGATTGGTGCAGTAATGGGAGAAAGTGATTTGACCCAAAATAAGTTAACTTTCCTCAAGCTGAAATTACATTTAGAGTGGAGGTCAATGTAGTGCTATAGAGGTATGAGCTAATCATATGAATGTGTCTACATATTACACAGTATTTTAGTAATTTATTTTGATGTTTTATTTGGTGATAATGTTAGTAGCTTAGACAAAAATATATAAGCTTCAAAAAATTATAAAATATAGATGTTCAATGATAATTATCATGGATATAAAGTTGCACAAATTATTATACTTTTTAGGTTGTAAAAATCTTTGATATTAAAAAAAACTTATGTTTTAAAATCTTTATTGAAAATATAAAAAGTGAGGAATTTATTAGCATTTAAAAGTGTATGTGAATGACCATAAATATCTCATGTGTCTGATTTAGAATCACATAATAGAAATTTAACCCAAAAGAAGTTTTAGTGCTAATTAAGATAAACAAATAAAATAAAGTAAAATAAAAGCTTTATTTAGAATTATAAAAAATATATATATCAAATCTGATATAGAATATTATTACAAAAAATCACTTTTATTTATATAATCCAAGAAATTTGGTTGTATCTTAAATGAAATCAAGGTTCTTTGTAATGCAATTCTAAACCTTCAAAGTTACAAGATAGAATGACTATATTCCATTGTGAAGGTAAAATTCACTCTTCAGCCTAAAATTAAAAATGGCATCAATTAAGATTTGCTTATAATTGGTGGTGTAAAGCAAATGATACAATTAATAAAAAAAATGAAGAACAAGCACATAACAAATTAAGGATATGCAATCAAGTATTTACACCTTCTAAAAACTAGTCATAGTTTGTTCATAGGGTTTTTATCTAATAAAAATATGTATATATATATATATATATATATATATATATTTCTAAATAAATATTTTATTATCTTTCTAATGGCATAAAAAATATATAAATCCAAATTAATATGAATAACTTATGAAGGTTTATGAAAGAAATAAAAAAATAGAAAAATTAAGTGAACTTGTAATATCTCAAAGATAACTTGTTTAAGCAATTAAAAGCTCTAGCATCACTAAGGTTTACAAGTATTATATATAGATGTCTTTGAGTGGCCACGAGGCTTTAGTCTTATCCTCTTACCTACATCTAAGGTGCTACAACCCACATGGGACATGTGCCACCTCTATTCTTACAATTCCTATACTAGTTATTGGACTTCCTATTTTGTACTAGTAAAACCAATTCTTTTATATTTTTGACTTCACCATTGTATTCAAAAACGCCCAATTAGTATTGTGACCCTAAAAAGGCCTTCAAATCTTGCTCAAATTTTTAATAATGACCCCCCAAAGTAAAAATATTTTTATAAATATTTTAGAAAAGATACTCAAATTTTTTAAATAATTTTATATATGAATTCCAAAAATATTCATAATTTTTTTAATACTATTATTAATTTTATTATTCATAATTTTTTTAATACTATTATTAATAAAAGATCCTCAAAAATATTATTTTATTAAAATAGTATTAAAAAAAATTAATAAAAGATCCTCAAAAATATTCATAATTTTTTTTAATACTATTATTTTTTATATCTTATTGATCTATTGATAATAATAGAATAAATTTAAATTAATTAAAAAAATTATTTTTAATATTAATAACTAAAAAAATATTTGATTCTTTTTCATGCTTATTCTATCTATTAACTAATATTTATAAGTTTTTAATAAATATTACATGTAGATAAAAGACAAGTTTACATATTGGCCTCAATAACTACATTCTAATTCATACAACTAAAAAATAAGATTAAACGAACTAAAATAATTATCTCCAAGACCTACTAAGACTTCATTTTTTATGATTTTTTGATTAATAAGACTCTTATAGCTCATAAATATTTCTAAATTCTAATAAATAATCAAATAACTAAATAGTCTTATTAAACTTAATATTTTATTTCTAAAAAAACTTGAAATCTTAAACATAATAATTTTATTAATTAAGATACATTGATAAGACTTACATCTATTTATAAACTTAATAATTTTTTATTGCTCATAAAAGATCCTTAAAAAATCACCTCTCTAACATTTTATTAGTCAAATTTGGAATAATTTAAAATCATTAGGTTAATATAAAAAGATATTTTATGGTTTTAAAGTTTATTTTTTATATAATATTATAATTAATTCAATATTTTTAAATATCTTGTATTTTAATTTATTATTGAATTAAAATTAAAATATATATCTAAGAGAATGTTAAATAGACGTAAGCTTTTACTAAAACTTTTCCATCCATCCTAACCATCATAAAAATAAAAATGACCTCTACATTCATTTTTTACTATTAGATATAGAACTAATGAAAATCAACCATATTCAACATGATTATTATACTCTTTATTATGATTACCATCGTGACTAGAAGGGTCTATTTAATATATATATATATATATATATATATATACATACACAAATTTCTAATAAATTACAAGATTTTTATTTTTTTATTTTTAAGATCTATCAATTTTTTTAATATATTTAGAATTATTTGTTATAAATTTTTTCATTATTCATTATCATGTTATAATTTTATAATTTTAAAAAATAAATTAAAATTTTAGTAATAATATAAGTAAAATGTAATAGCTTATTATACACATTATTATCAAAGATATAGATTTCTAAAAATAATTTAATTAATAACTAGATTATATAATTTAATATCTTATATCTGATTTTAAAGATATATTTGAATCTTTTGTTAAAAATCTCTATATGTACGTTATTGATTAAATTTTTATATATTTATAATTTTTTATTTTAATATAAAGATTATTTTTAAAATATTTTTGAATTAGATTGGTTGAAAAAATTCAATATTTGATTATCAAACGTTATTAAAAAGAAAAAAAATCATACCTTAACCATCTAATAAAATAATCAAAATTATATTTTAATTATCTATTCATAAGAACTACATGCGATATATTTAACAAAAAATTCAGAAAATGATCAGTTAAGAAGAAAATTGTAAAATATTCATGAAATAGAATAATACAAAATGATATTAATTTTTTTTATTAAAATATAATTTAAGAATAAAATTTTACTGTGAGATTTTGCAAAATATTTGATTTATACAAAATAATTTTACTTGTGCAGTATTCAGGAATATATATATATATATACATATGTGTATTTTATAATCCTTTAAAATTTGTAAATACAGCTCAAATCTGTTTGTAGTAGACATTGATGTATTTAGTTTCCTATGCTTTTATATTGTAAAACGTAAAGTCAAGTTGGTAATTTTATGAAAGTACATCATAACAGATCGAAAATACCTTTATTTTTACTTCAAATAATTTTATAAATGGAAAATTTTATATATTGTTAATGACATATTCTATAATCTTCAATATAATTGAAATATTTATCAATAAAGAATTAAGTTATATTTATATTTATTTATTTCTATATTAGATTTTTTAATTTTTTATCGTAAATCTAATATTTTTACACCTAAAATTTTAAATAAAGTATTTATTCAATTCAATAATAAAAAATAGATAAAATATTAAAATAAATATATTTATTTTACTATAGCTATAATACTGAATGTAATAAAACAGCATAACAACAAAACTAAGAAAGGTTTTTCACATACATAAAGAATAATAATAATAATAATAATAATAATACTAAGTTTAAAATTAAACTTTTTTTTTTTTTTTTTTTTTTTTTTTTTTTAAATCTATCTATCTATCTATCTATCTATCTATCTA